CGGGTAACGTTCCGCTCGTGTGCAGGCCGGGCGCGTGTCGCTGGACGCTGACGGGGCGCGGCGTGCGCGCCGACCTGGCCTCGCCCGAGGACGTCTCCCTCGGGCCCGAGCGACACGGCACCTCCGTCTGACCGGACCCACACACGAACCATTCATTTTATATCTAATCACATCATTCACTGATCAGGTCTCATATGAATCTTTATTTTCATTCATATTTATAATTACTTGCTTATACAGCGTGAATTATAAATAACCGCTTTTTTAAGGTCGAGGTAAGAGGTAATATTTCTCACTGACTCAGTATCAGTACTGAACCAATCGCACATAATATCAGCTGTTTGATAAACGCGGGGCAGATATCTCTAGCCCAGCCATACAGTCCGCACCCTCATAGTTACGTATCACTGTTGGCTTGAGATCGTCTTCCAGTTATTTCTTTCACAATTATTAATATTATTTTATTAACATAAAAGTTAAGTATGTATTATGGATTTATTCTACTGCCAAAACAAAATTATTAATTACGGGATAACATTCTTGTAAATTTTACAATGCAATGTTGATATCTCGTACACACTATGTATTACAGGCTGAGTTTTGAAAAATCTAAGGACACGAATGCATTGTCTTAGTAACTTTGATTGTTTAAACTAAAATCCATATGGCAGTAACATGTAATGATAAAATTCGAAATGAAAGCATTTATTTCTATTAATTCCGTGACAATTGTATAATACAATTGTCTGACAATTGAAAAAAAATAATTTAATTCTAAGCAATCATCTCTATTCGATTGCAAATGACGGAATACCTCAAGTATAAAAATATAAGAGATTTACATTAATTTAAGGACATGACTGTAAGCTTTATCTAATTTAGGTCGTAATTAGTGTTTGTTAGATAGTGATTATTATAGCTGTAGGTAAAGAAGCGAAAACAACGATTCAGCTTGTGACGTGCGCTGCATAATGCTTCGATGTCGCCGCGTAATCACGTCCAAATATAGTTACGTAGAGTCTGGCAAACGAAAGTGGAGACTGAAAAAGCCCGGCAAATTTAAAAAATATCAGTATAGCAACCCAAATATTAGTATGTCATACCTGGAGTAACCAGACGTGAAGACGTAACAAACAAACAAATTATTATAAAGTATCAAATTAGGTTACTCCAGGTATGACATACTAATTTATGGGTTGCTATACTGATATTTTTTAAATTTGCCGGGATTTTTCAGTCTCTACTTTCGTTTGCCAGACTCTACTACTTTACATTGCATCAACTGCATTACTGATCGATAACTGACGTTTGTGCGGCATAAACTACTAATTCCACTAGTACCACAATTTGATAATTGTTCATATATTTGGGCTCTTTTATTTATTATTTATAGAATAATGTTATATATTTCAAACTATAAAATTGAAAAAGTAATTACAAAGAAAATAAATGAAAACTATAAATAATTATTTACAAAGAGCGTCAATTTTGGGCTAAACTTGAAACTATTGATATGTATACTATGTTCACTTTTAATGCCAATATAGAACTGAAATATTAATTAAGAATACCTGTTTACTCACCGTGTTTAAAAACAATAGCGGAACCTTCTGCGATTGAAACTGTTAGTGGTTTTCTCAACATTTATGTGAGTAAAGGTATTTTTAATTAGTGTAGTATGTCTCACGATAGCTATTATACATATAGAACTAAAATATATAAATTGGTATTGTAAAAATGTCTATTTGAAATAGAATACTGATTTAGAATTAGGCTGCCATTATACACATGGCTTAAAATACATAAAAATTGCCTTTTAGAATAATGGTTTCTGAGTTAGTGGTACACGGGGCTAGTGGCCGCATCACACGTAGCGAGTAGGAGTTCCGTTCGACTAACAGCAAGTTATTTACACTACTTGTAAATGAAGTATCATTTTTATTTATTTCATTACCTACGCTTCCTGCCCAAGTAGCCTTTTCATACCTCAAAAAGTATTTAGTCTCAAATTAATTTTTTTGTATATAATAATAATATGATTAAGTACTGAAAAGAGGTTTGAAACTGCGTTAAGCAGACGGGCGCGCGGTCCCATATAGAAGTGGCCGGCCGAATGTTGCCACGTGTCAATTGACCGTCGCGGATGGCCGCTTCTACCCGTGAATGTACCCTTTAAACAAATAATACATATTTTTTATGTTAAATGGTTTTATTGGGCTCTTTTTTATGGGATAAGCCGGTAAACGAGCTGACGGATCACCTGATGGTAAGCAATCGGCGCCGCCCATGGACACCTGGAACACCAGAGGCGCTACAAGTGCGTTACCGGCCTTTTGCGGATTATGAATTTGAGTATTGTTGGGGATTCAAGGATTGGGGGAGGAGGGGGTTAATTGTATTCCGGTAACGTCATTGTTTTCTGTTCGGCCGTGGTATCACTCCGATCGAGCTCTCCTACGCTTAAAAATCTGGTTCAAATCTACCAATCAAGCCATTTCGTTTGATATTCATAATGGAGGTAGTTGTGAATAAATTAGATTATAATATTGTATGCTCATCACGATAATGTGTACCAAATATTAGTTAGATCTGTCGCGTTGTCAGGAAATCCAGTTACCATATTTGACCCAAACAAAAAAAATAAACGGGACAAGCAAAAACTGCGTAATTTCACAATAGGGTAGATACCTAATTTTTATATTAATGTCCGTCTGGTAGATTATTTTAAAACATTACACACGTATTTTTTATTTTCTTACAGAAACGAATACTTTCGACTATATATTGATTTGAAATGTCGCGTGACGTCACTTCTATGTACATTTTATACGTAGAAATGTCGTTTTAACCCCCACTCCTAAACTTTGATTCGTTTTATCTAAGTATTGTTTTATTATTCGCCAAAATAAAAAAATACGTGTCTAATTTTTTTTTCATTACCTAACTTACGGACTAATTTTTTATACTATCCCAATTCTCATGGTATTGTCAGCTGGAGAAATATATTATAGGTTGCTTTATTTTCTATGTTATATAATTACTACTAACCTTATAATGTGGTATTACAATACATATACACACGTAGAATGCTCTCTTCAATTCTAAATAATAATAAATTATATTTTAAATAAAATGTCGGCAACGACGTAATGTTGATATTAGCGTTCGTGGCCTATTGTAAAATATCTTGAAGATATACGTTTGATCTGCTAATTGTTTAAGTGCTGTGTAGATATAATTAGGCGTAAGATAACACTTGGCCTGTTACACTGATGACGCAATGTCGTTTGCTCATAATCCAAAATATGGAAGATGTTCATTGCTAGTCGTTAAGATTATCCTTTCTCATTACATACAGTAATTTGTGATTCGGCCGTAATCTCGTATGGGGTTATTTATTTCAATTAAATAATATAACATTACAGTCATAAAACCACATTTCAAATAATAATGAAAAGGAAAATACAAAACAGAAAAGTTCTTAAATGACAAATTGCAAACTTGGTAGAAAAATATAAAACAAACAATAAGAACAAGAAAACCTTACAAACTATGACAGGTTTTAATACCAATAAGCATAATATACATACAATATAAAATAATAAACCTTTAGTTATAACACAAAATAAAATAAAATACAGTTATGCATTCATACACTCGCACAACTTAAAGAACAGATCAAGTCCAACATTTTTGTCGAACAAAGGTATAGGCGGAAATTAATGGTTACTAAAACTTATAGTGTTAATTCCATGGTAACTAAAAATTAAAAAAAGAACAAAAAAGAACACTCTTAACATATTTTTTTATTATCTTACTTTAGTAGTTTATTTACCAGTTCTAATCATCTAATACAGTATACACAATTATAATAATATTTTAGACAGTGATCCCAAATTCATAGAATATAGGAATATTTTTCAAATTTGGTTCAAAAATATGCATAAAAATTTACTATGACGTTTGTTGTGCACTTTTTACAAAAAACATCTACATTCCATAAGCATATGCGGTATACAACTTCCCCATACGAGATTATGGTCCAATTACAATCACCGTGTATATAATATATAATTTACCTATGCATTATATGCACCTCCATAGTACCTATTCTATGTATTAAAACTTATAATATTATAACTAAAAGAGATGAATCGAGATAGAATTGCTTACATACGAGTACCCAGTTCGAAATATTGGTTGTGTGTAGATATTTGACCTTTCTATATTAGGCGCAATGTACGGTGAAAGGTCAAAAGTCCACTGCCACTGTAAGACTACTATCGATTGCGCTGCGGCACTTATACACACACTGAAAAATATGCGTGTGCATGTGCACACGCATATTTGTATCCGTGTGCGTACGCGTGCGTGTGTTTATGCGTACGCACGCGTTTTTATGCACATTAATATGAAATTACTTACGCATTGCCGTGTGAACATCACTCACGGTGGCAGTGGACTTTTGACCTTTGATTGTACAAGTATCACTGTATTCAATTCCTGTTGACTGTATTGCCCCAATTTCCAAAGAACTAATTCTTGTTAGCAATATACCTACGATAAGTCTCTATAACTCAAACCGGCGCCGTTACATTATGGGGTGAAGTAAAAATGTAAATCCCTATTAAATTAAACTGTCTTTGTTTAAAAGAATTAAATGTGAAGTAGTTGTTGACATCCCATTTTGATCGATGGTGGAAGAAATCAGGGACTTTAATTCTATCTTGATTTATTTCTATAGTTGCTGTTTTAAAAGTACCAAAATGGTACCTCTATAGTATAATTAAGTTCATGACACGAATCTCCACGCTAACCTTTGGCAGCTAAATAAAGTAAAAAAAAAATATGCAAAAGTGGTGTTATACTGTGTAATGTAGTTTTTACAAGCACGTCGGGAACAAAGCTCTAGTGATGGCTTGTAAGCTTTCAGCAAATTCTTGTTTTGTCATCGTATCCGTCCTTTAAATTAACCTTAGTTGCACATTCTACTCATATTCGAAGATCTTATTTACATAAATATTTCATTAAATTCGAGGCGAATGCGAATGTTTTAAATTTGCATATTGGGAAAAATGCATTTAACTACATAATTATATTATGAAATACATTTCCTTATACCAAAGTTCTCGCAATAATCTAGTGTAAAATAACACATTTTATATGTAAGAAGATTTGTAACTACATGTAAGGGCTGAAACACGTAACCGCGTTGCGTAGCCGCAACGCACCGCAACGCTAAAATCGGCAGTTTGCGTTGCAGCATAACAGAGTAATGTATTCTTAATAACAAATAGGCAATAAGTTTTTCACGATGGTTCATGGCAGAGACACGTCTATCCACAATAAAAAATCACCACGAACTGGTTACCCTACCGAACGACAACAAAACGCTCTTTTTCACGACGCCGCAACGCTGCAACGCAACGTGGTTATGTGTTTCGGCCCTAAGGGTCAGTTCACATTGACAGTAAACGTCATTATTAGTTTATACACTTTATTACAATGTTATAAAGTTTACATTGTATTAACTACTCGTCTGCCGCTATATGAAACAATACGTTGTTTCTCTAGTCTTTCGTTATAATTGTACTATAAACTTAATTTGTTTTTGAGTTGGTGGCAGTACGATTTATTTTTACTTTGGACTAAAAATAAGTAACATGTGAACTGACCCACCAAATACCTAATATATAATTTGAGTAGGTACCACCCACCCATTGCATAAGTTATAATATTGATGCATTTCTAAGCTTTACTTTGAATAACCTTAACCATTTATTAATTTCGTACGTAAATTATGTGAAATACCTACTGTAAACAAAAATTGAAGCTTTTTATGACGGCCACTGCACCGTAGGTTGTAGTCAGACAAAGCAAAACATGCCCACGTTCGGTGTATTATTACTTATTACTGACCCGTCAGCACGCAACGCTTTCGTGGGCAAATTGTCAACATGATGACCGAAATTTAGAACCGATGTCGATACAAAATCTTTAGGTAAACCTCGATTTTTGACGTTATTTGTAAATGAGGGTTTCTGTCAAAACCTGAGATCCACCCAAAGAGGGATCAAGATCGGTTAATTTCGGCCGTTAGTCAACGCTGAAAGTAGCAGCAGAGGGCTTAGTAAGAGCTTGATTTACGTTTAAAGTAACCGAAACGAGTAAATACGCGTTCAGCGCTCTAATTGACTGGCTCCAGTGAACCAAACAATCTGAGCGTCGAACGCGGTCTCGTCGTACTAAGGCCTCAGATCCTATTACAAAACTGATTTCCACATGAGCCTGTACGTTCTCTTCATATCTATTGCAGGTATTTTTGTAAACGGCCCCTTCAAACCTCGTATTCATTAGGCAACATTCGTTAATAAATAGTGATTATAAAGTAATTAAAGGCTAAATCATCATCTCGTTGTTTACAAACAAAAGGTAATGAAAACGGAAGCTAAATGTGTCACCTGTTGCAAAAAACCTTAAACTAATAGGTAAGTAATCTTCTCTGAGACTCGTGGGAGTCCGAATTTTCGAAAATCAATTTTAGTAACATTTTACAATCAAATGGTGACATCATACCAAATATATAACTTCTATCAGTTTCGAATTTACCTACCACCTTTCTTCTTTTTTTCTATGAATGCTCTCTAATGAGTATTATGTAAGCAGCAGTGAGCATCATAATTTTACTAGTCCTCGGGCGACATTCTAGCAACGACTTACAAGTATGGACGGTTTATCAACAAATGTTGACTAATTATTACGAGGCTTTACGCCCTAGTGGTCGTCGGCATACAGTTACGGCACGCCGTTTTATTGCTTTGGAGAGGCGCGCGGTCCGCAGTCCGCCATTGGATTTTTGTATTGATTAAATATATAATGTTCAAATTCAAATGACAAGTTGCTGGGTTAGAGCGGTGCCGTTACTGTATGCCGATGTTCTACCTAAAATAGGTGTATCTGTAATGAAAGCTTTTATTTTTAAAATCATACAACATTTAACGTTTAACATATTAAAGAATGAGAATTGCAATACTTTGTTTTGTTTTCTTACCCTACTTTTATTACCTACCATTACGAAGTTTCATATTATTTTATCAGATTATACTATAGATATTATACTGCCTCGTTAACCGAGTGGTCGCAAGTTCGCCTGCCAAGCAAGGAGTGTCGGGTTCGATTCCTGGGTCGGAAAAGTATTACTGGGTTTTAAAAAAATTCTCAATAGTAGCACGGAGTCTGGAAATGTGTCCGGTATATGGCAATAGGCTCACCCAATATTACATGGGACTTATAACATAAATAGTGATAAGTGGGTGTTACATAGTAGGTACAGTGGCATTAACTGGCCTAATGTGCACCTCTGCCAACCCCTTCAAAGTCAAAGTCAAAATAATTTATTTCAATTAGACCTAAGCCTACCTTAGGAAGGCACTTTAAATAAAGTTTTCGCTTTTTCGCAACCACCTAAACTTGGTCGGGTTGCCACGATCTTTCACTTCCTAATGACTTTAAATCGTATTATCTCATTAATTATCCAATGTACTGAGCTGAAATTTTACTGCTATACAACTAAACTAAAATACCTATTATTGAAATAACATTCAGTTCATATAACCAATCCAGTGACTAAATAACACCGCGCGCATCAAGACCGTGGTCGTGAAGAAAGAACTCAATATCATCATACTTACAGGATACCAATGAAACTTCACATACATTTGAAAGCAGTTACAAGCTTTAAAATGACGTTTAAAGTATGTCTTTAGAGCTCTTATTGAGAGATGTGGGACCAATTGAAGTGTTTTTCTATTTAATGAAATGCCTTTTAAGCTATGTATTATTTTGCTTTTTTTATTGCACAACATATTTAAACTAATTCCTAAGAAGCCATGTAAGTACAAAATATGATAAGAATCCGCTTAACCATTTCAAAGATCTCGCAAAACCAAAAACGTTACCCCAGCAAAATCTCAAATAACTTCGTAACCAATGAAATAACAAATACAAAACAAGGCACAACATTTACTTCATCTAGACAACTAATTTTATAGCTAGTAATTATTTGAATAATACCATTACAGAGAAAAAGGTCTGGCTGGGGTAACGTTACCCCAGCAGGAAATGTTTTTGTGAAATAATTAAAAAACTAAGCGCAACAATTAGTATCGCCGCACACGAGCCACTCGCCACAGCCACAAACGCCGCCACTAGAAGCTAGAAGCGGCTACAAAGGTAGCTGAAGTGCGCGACAGCCACTTGTGGCCGGTGGTCGACACTTGCGGTCGGTGGCTGCTTGTTGTTGTACTTTTTTTAACCTTTGCGTGCAGTATCATAATGGACTCTGACGAAGAAGGTTTAATTGCGCTTCTTTTGATAAAAAGACGTCGTCGTAGAAGACGAAACCGTAGTTATTGAATACATCCAATTTTAACGAATGTAAACAAATGCAACGAACATTTCGATAATCTTCTAAACCATCCTAAAAAGTTTTTCAAACATTTTCGTTTAAGCATAGATACGTTTTGGGAACTACATGCTCTATTATATGCTGGATTAAAGCACCACGATACCAACATGCGGAAAAGCATCGCACCTGCGGAAAGACTAGCTATCACATTAAGGTAAGTGGAAATAATCACTAGCATAAAACTCCACAGAACACTATGATAAAATAATCTGTACTTTATTTATAATAGAAAAAAAATGCACATTGATTATTATAATCAATGTGCTAGTTAACAAATAAAACACGTAGGTATTTGTATTTAGTTATTATGTCTTTATTATAATTTGGTATCACTCGTCATCATCACGGAACATGTTTTCGATAACAGAACTGTTGTCCATAGACTGGTCAGAATAATATGAATGAGTTGGAGAAGGCTGAATTATAGGTGAAGACGGGATAGATGTAGAAGCGTTTTGTGTAGAGTATGACATGTCAAGCATAGACTTGTCGGAATAATGTGAATGAAGTGGAGAAGGCTGAACAGATGTAGAAGCTTTTTGTGTCGAGTGTATGTTGGCATTTCCTGAAGAATAACCATAATATTGTGCCGAATAGGTTTCATAATTTTGATTATGCGTGTACTTTCTAATTAACTGTAATATTTCTGATTGAAAATCAAGTTTACAATTTTCGTCAATTTTTTTTACATGTGGAAGCAGCGACATCAGAAATTGCTTATCGGGGTCATTTTGGTCGCTTATTTGATCATGTTTACGTTTTAAATTTTCCGAAAGTGTTCTGAGCATTTCATTTTCTGATTTTTCGGCCCTTTTTATATCAATGTTTCTGTTTATTTTCGGGTGAGATGTTTCCGCATCATCAGTTGCATTAGTAAAATCGGTAGGCGGTCTCACTTCTTTTAAGGAATTCAAGAACGATAGATGATTGAAATAAATGTACTGTTTACTGCTTGTTGCTGCCAAACCACTCGCAACGTTCTTGTTTTTTTGCATTTTCTCTATTAAAACTGTCACAAAGACTCTTCCACTTCCTCTGTAATTTAGTTACTGTAACAACAAAAAATATAATATTAATTTATTTAATTTACTTTTTTTAAAATATAATTTGTTTCAGGTATCTAGGAACTGCATGCTCGTTTGAGGATTTTGAACTCTCTTACCACCGTGGGGCCTCTACAGCAAGGAAAATAGTACAAGAAACATGTCAACTAATTTGGAACTATTTAAAAGCCGTTTGTATTCCAGAACCGACCCAAGACATGTGGAAAGAAATTGCCAGCGGATTTCTTCAAAATACTAATTTTCCTAATTGTTTAGGCGCCATAGATGGGAAACATCTAAGAATTATTCATCCATTCGATACCGGCTCCTTGTACTAACATAACATAACATCACGCCTTTTTATCCCCGAAGGGGTAGGCAGAGGTGCACATTACGGCACTTAATGCCACTGTTCTCCTTGTACTTTAACTATAAAAATTTTTTTTCAATAGTACTTCTAGCAAGTTGCGACTCGAATTTACTTTTTACGTTCGTGGATGTTGGGGCATACGGTAAAGCATCCGATTCTACAATATTTAGAGAAAGTGAACTGTGTAACAAAATACACAGAAAGACATTAAATATCCCCTCACCACGACAGATCGGTAATCGACAACCATTGAACTACACATTTGTTGATGATGAAGCATTTGGCCTCAGTGAAAATATGATGAGGCCATATGCTGGAAAATATTTGGACTTAGACAAAAAAGTTTTTTAATTATAGGTTAAGCCGTGCCAGACGTTGCATTGAGTGTACCTTCGGCGTACTAGCAAACAAAATGAAGAATATTACATCGCCCATTAAACACTTCTGTTCATTTCTCAGAAGACATTGTGAAAGCTTGTTGCATTTTGCACAACTTTATTCGCAAAAGGGATGGCTTCAATTTTCGGCATACTTTGAAAATAGTGGGACTCGAAAATATACAAAATAAAGGCTGGCCAGTAACACGAGCGTCTACGGCAAGAGATACGTTAAAAGATTATTTTATGAATGAAGGAGCAATACCGTGGCAAGAAAATAGAATATAAATATATGGTTTTATATTATTTTATTAAACTTACCTTCAATGTTCTTTTCTTTGGCAGTTTTATTCGAAAAATCTCCCACAAACAATTCGCAATTTCTTCCCAGGCCTTCACTTTTTCTCCTCTATTACTATAACTATCACTTTTTGAATCCCAAATCGCAGGACGGGATTGTATCTCTGATATAAATAATTCTATATCCATATTTATCTACCTATATGAACTACAGACTACGTGCGTGCGTTACCGTCGATTTACATAGGTTAACTGAGGCAAGGGAAAGAGGGGCGCGGAATCACGCGAGTGGCGTGTGGCGGCTTTTTGTGTCGGCGTTTAGTGGCCGGTGCGAGCCACAAGATGCAAGCTACGACGATTTGAAGCGTGTGGCCGCCACCGGGCAACCGTGTGCGGCGAGTCCATATAAAATGTATGAAAAATACAGGAAATATGGCAGTGGCGGCGTTTTGTGGTTGTGGCCGGTGGCCCGTGTGCGGGAGCCGTTAGGTACAGAAGCCGCACAACTAATCTTTACCTATATATATAATTCTTCTGAGTGTTTATGTCACTGAACTTCTCTGAAACGACTGGACCGATTTTGATGAAATTTTTTGTGTGTGTTCAAGGGGATCTGGGAATGGTTTAGATTCACAAATCAGCCCGGCAGATGGCGCTGCAGTCGGTGTCTAGGCTATTTATCCTAAACGGCTGAACTAATTTGAATGAATCTTTGTTATACATTCAAGTAGATATGCAAGACAACGTCTGTCGGGTCCGCTAGTTATTTATAAGATTCAAATGACCATTTTCGACAATATCTGGCCTGGGTAACGCACACGTCTTGAGCAGAGTTGTCTGCTCGACTGTCGTTCAATAGTTCCGGTCTATATTCTGCAGCATATAAATAAATGGGTAATAGGACACTAAATAAAACTCGTATAGTATTGAATGGAATTTTAAATTTATTAAACCTACCTATCTAGTAATATTCATAATCTTCACATCTCTGTTACACATTAATTTGTATCACATGGATTTGAAAATTATTTTGTTAAAAATATCTACTATGATGATATTAGAAGCTATAATGCATATTTTTAATAAATAAAAAATAAACAATTTGATCTCCAGTATGTGAGTGTGAACGCATGTCTCAATTGGTTATCAACTACAACATACTATTTCTAATTTAACAATAAAAATTTGAAAGAATTTGTTGGGCCTACCTACCTAAAAATTAAATAAAATTAAAAATATGTATATAATAATAAATATATATGTAAAGAGTCGGATGCTGTTATTTATTATGCATGTATAAAACCTTCAAAGCTTTTCTTTAAACTGTATTGGTCCTTAAATTAAAAACAAAATGCAAACTGTAGTATTGATTAAAATAATTGCTAAAAACAATGAATAAACAATAACCACACCTCGCCCATCGGTAGCGTGTACATGTCTGTATAGCGAGATTGTGCGCCTGTGCCTGCCACTCCGATAGGTACAAGCTTCTTGTGACAATACAAACGACACTCATCTTACAACTTTCTAAATACCTACTTCTTTCCAGTTATGTCAACTAAACATCCAAGGTACATAGGATCGACACCATAAAATATAGGAAATACAAAATTTCATCAACAAAATTACTCTCCATGTGATAAAGATTCTATACAAAAATAAATATCGTCTCTAATACACATCTAAATCTCAAATTATTAGCAAGCTAGACTATATTAACATTCTATGGCCACACAGAACATTTTGTTTCACGCCACTACTTTTTACTTTTCAGACACAATTGATCACGACATTTTAAAAACCCTTACATTCTATCAATAACTAATTCCAAAATGCAATGGTTGGTGTGTATAAATCCAAGGATCATAAGGTACATAAGAGGGGGCCATAAAGCTGGATCTAACAAACATGCCATGTTGTAGTTTGGTACATACAAGAGTTCTATTAACTGAAGGAACAACTACACACATCTTCACAATATCGTTCCGCCACAAGGAGCACAGTATCTGTTTACTAAAACGCATGTGTTAAGTGGAAGTTTGAGACCGCGATGTAAGGTATCTTGAATGGTCGTTGACATGGACAAAATGGGGATTTGGGTGTTCTCCGAGCAATAACTGGCTCAAAACTGGACCTGATACTGGAAGCTGAGGACTGCATTTGCTGATAAATGTAGAAACGGGAAAATTTCTTGGGACATGAATTTCCCAATCCAGCATTGTTACTCAAACTACTTATTTAAGGTGTTCGTTGTTAGACATGCAGACATGGTCCCCTAGTAATACAGGTAAGGTTTTCATTGCAAGACAATAGGACTATTGTGGATAGGTTTACGTTGCCAAACCAGTAATTTTCGGGTGAGTATGCCGAAGTTGCTGTGTGACGTTATTGATAAATATATCTTCGATTCTTTTCTTTACTTTGGTGGAGGAAGTTATGAAATTTGGTAATAGCAGATTAACATAAACGAGCCCGCAGTCTTGAAGAGTCCATAGATTCGGCGAGACGATTTAAATGTTTCGAAATCCCTCTCTTCCCTCTCGAACTCACTTCAATTCAGCCAGTCTATCGACAAGCCTAATACCGTTTGCATACAGAAATGCAATACCAAGCTTGACGATCTAGTAGCATAACCATGTGCGGAATAATGTATTTTACTACACTAAACCTTTCTACACATGCATGCATGAGACTTGGCTAAACTTATCAAACGCCTCACGTAATTATGGATGCGCTCTCGGTGGACGCAGGCAGACACGCGAAAAATATTTGAGTTGATAAAGATAACTTAAAATTACTTGTTGGACTGAAAATAGACATATGGTGATACCCAAACTATTGGCCGATAGTAAAGCCTAATAACAGTTGTACCTATGTGCTTGCAATAGTGCTGATCTATAGTTATTAACATGATTACATATTTGTGAAAAAACCACTCCATGTGATAACAACGCGTACAGTACATACATATAGAATCTATCTATCTATCGCCAAAACCACAAGAAACGCGGTGCGACAACTACAATGGAAAATATTACAAAATGTATCCAGATGGAATTGATTAAAACGATTGCATTCAAAGATTGTCGGCTAGGGTCCCTTGCACGCTATACATTCCAAACATCTTATTTCATTCATTATTCCAGTATACAAAATGTACCGTGTCGACATACTTATAAAAAGACAACCGAAACACAGCGGGTGCGTTTAATGCTATTGTGGAATAAGATAGATCTCGTGGAACATGTCCGTGCTGCCACGTACTTGTGATGCCGAGAAACGTATCCGCTGTGCTCGGCGCCGTTCAACATCGTATATATCTGAATATTATAAAGGCGGCTGTGGTCATATTGCTTCTGTTTTACGATACAAAACGCTTCTACACACTTAAATCAATGTCCATTACAATTTGAAAACACTACTTAATTCTAAGTTATATAATCTAAGTTTAATTTGTTATATTACTATTACAATAATTATACCCATACAAAAACATTAGTGTTATAAATATTTAGAACTCGGACTGGAGATTATAGATTTTATTACATACTCAAGCACCTCACGATGGTGGCAACACGATTTCACAACTTATTGCTTATATTTTGTGCCGTTTTCTCTTTTGTAAAACATCTTAAGATTGTCCTTTCAATAGATTCGTCGTAGGATAATTGTCTAAAAATGTTAACGGTTTTATTTGTAGATATTTTTAAATGTCATAGCAAAATATATAAAATTAGTCTATGTATAAAACATGTAAATTATTTAATTTACATAATAGTATATTCGAGGCACGAAATGCCAATTAAATTGTGATACTGGCAATAGTTAAATTAACTCTTCATTTCCATCTGATTAGCAACCTGTGTTCCATGCCCTCAAGACCAGTTGTTTGCTAAACCCTAATTGGATAAGACCCTTACTCATGTAGTACTGATGCTGTATGGAACATTCTACACAACTATTGTTTAAACATATAACAAACATGTAACATATATTTTCCAATAATACATAACTATATTTGAATAAAAATATATGCTTGTACATAATTTTTAGTACAGTAAAAGAAAACAAATGTATTATAAAAATGATAACTTCCATCTAAATATTCTATATAACTATTCTACTAATAAATGACAATTTATTAACACGTTAAACGCCATGGCAGTCACTGGTGACCGACATTAGCGGAGGATTTGCCTTCAACAGTTTTTTATTGGCAGCCAATGCCTTAAACCATGTCTGAGAAATGATGGTCAATAATATAATTTATTTACCCCAGTCCGTTTCTCTCGAACTCTGCAAACAATTTATATAGTATTTATATATTGTTTAGTAAGATAAAATTAAATGCGTTAGACATGCTCTTGTGGCACTTAACTCGTTGATTCATGACGATTTATGACAGAACCTTTTAATTTATATGACGCATAACTAATAAATCATTTCCGAATTCGTCATGCCATGGATAAATTCAAACGAATATGTATTTATAATATCTAGATTATTCGGGAATGTTAACATAAAATAACGCTACGTGTTATAAATCTAATACGCGGTCTCTAGGCATGATACTGTTTTTCATTTAGTACAAAAATACATTTTGCCGGCAGACTAGTAATGTCTTCGCTCAATCTGGGCAGCAGTAACTCAGTCTGGCAGCATTCAGCAAAAGGCCTCTCAGTTGTACTCTGGGCATTCCTGTACCTATTGAACCATAGCTCAGTGCATTTTGCGCCTGTTCTTATTAGGTACTCTCGGTCAGATAGCTCCTCGCTCTCTTAAACACAGATAAGCGAAACTATTTATAACATTACTAAAACACTAGTTTAGCCTTACAATTTTTTATCTATAAACTTGAGGAAAGCAGTGATATTTCTGCTCTTTAACACTCCAAGTAATGTCATGTTCTCTCTTAATTTGTTAAATTAAATGATGATTGCCAATATCAACGATTTATTGTTACTTTTGTTAAATTCAGAGCAACTGTCGGTCGCACCCATCGTCGCTACTAGAGGTCGCAAGTACAACAAACGTCAAGTTAAAACTATTAGATATAACATTGTCAATACAATATGAAACAAAAATGCAAATAGATTATGATTTATATTATATAGTTTGCTTCTTCATAACATTAATATGAAAAAAGCAATTAACGTCGTCTACAAAAATATATTCTTCGGCTTTACAAATGGGGCAGCTAAGATAGCCAGATAGCCAGGAGAGCTAGGCAAATATGTAAAGCAATAGTTTCAGTTAGGAGAGGAGACGGCGCGCTTCGCTCCTTTCCTACATCGCTTTGGCTCGGCGCGCCCACTCATCTACTCACAATCTCAATATTTTTATCGAAAACTTTTGGTCCTTAGATAGCTAGTTAATAGAGAAAATCATGCTATGTGATCACACGACGAGGAAGCCAATACAAGCTACGCTCTTGATAGACATGTCATACCATTATTAATTAACCTAATTTGAATATGTAAAATGATTTGTAGATATCTGTATAAAACTAAATACTACATTATAGTATTCTCCAATACTTACGAGCACTAGTACATTCATGGCCGTGCTTCCATCAATATCAATATACAATATTATAACTTACTATATAAATTGAGTCACAATGAGAATATCCAAATTGATACAAAATTTTCTTAACATCTAAGATAATTGGTGAAAGCATAACCACAAAGTAAAATTTTCAAGATAAAACCTCATAAATACCTATATTTTGTTTGAATCTTTATGAATATAAAAGCAACAGTCCACTAACACGAGAGGCTAATAAACAAAATTGTTAACATCAAAGCATAATATACCATAACATCATGTTACAACTCTAGTATAATGTCACTTGTAAATATTCAATCTGTTTGTATAATTATCTGCAACTTTGGTGAGCTGGTGAACAAGTCAAGTCAATGATGAGGTGGTATGGAATAGAGGTACCACAAATAGTGTTTTGGCTAAATACCGAATATTCGGCTAGTCTACGCGCCGTCCGGAGGAAGAGAGTGGCTGTGTGCTTGTGTGGATTTTAAAGACGAACCTAACTTCAAATTATTACCAGTGTAAGGTATTTGTTAGTATGCATCTGTTTTCCTTGATTTAGTATTTGGTACTTCCAACTTCAACAAACAAGAATACCAAATATAAGTAACCGAATATTCATGGCATTTCCAGTATTAAGTTATAGCCATCATTTGATATCTGTATATGTGCAGTTGGATAACTATATATTATTATTTGCAGACAATCACAATTTACCAGTATTCAAGAAGGAGCCTAGTAAGCCTAGACCTGTAGTATTGTTATAATCTGAACAGATAACATAATCTTCATGAACATCTATTTGCAAATAGAAACAATCTGATGAAACTGATCCCAGCGGTGCACAGGGCGCTACTGGTGGTGCTGCACCGGCGTCTGGCAGTACGGACACTCCGCGGCCGTCGCGGCGCACGTCTCGCACAGCACGTAGTGGTTGCACGGCGCCAGCGTCACGCTGCGGGGCTGCTCCTCGCAGCCCATGCACTTCGTGGCCGTCTCCAGGTACAGGACCTTCTCGATGTCCTCCAGCTCGGCGCGCGCCTGCGCCTGCAGCGCCTTCAGCGCCGTCAACGGCAGCCCGCGCAGCTCGCGCCGCGGGGCCAGTGCAGCGCGCGCGGCCTCCAGCTCGCGACGCAGCGCCAGCGCCGCGGCGCGCGCGTCGTCCCGCTGACGCTCCGCCAGCGCCGCCGCGCGCGCCGCCTCGTCCGCCTCGCGCTGCCAGGCCTCGCATGCCGAGCGAGCCTGCGCCAGGCGCTCGTCCCAGCGCGCCACGGCTTGGCGCGAGGCGACCACTTCCTCGCGCAGGCGCGATAGCTCACCCGGAGCCGACGGCGACGCGGCCGCGTACTCGAATGCGCCGCCGCCACCGCCGAAGCTACCAGCCTTCATAGCGTGGGAATTAAATAGACGCTCGGTTTCATTGGAGTATCTCAGGAATGACGGCAGCGGCGAGCCTGCAGGCGGTGGGCTGAAGCCACGCAATGTGGGTCGCGCCTGCGGGATGTTGACCGGCGCAGAACTCGCCAGTAAGCCTTCACCATCCGCTAGGTCGCGGTCGAGTGCAGCCACGAGATTTAACGGCTCGTCCAGATGCAAGTCATCGAGAGCGTTGCCCACTACATCGTGCAATACGCCGGCATCAAATGGTGCCCGCGCGGGCCAAGCCGGCGGCGGTGCGGGTTTGTGGTCTTCGTGGCGCAGCGCTCGGCCGGCCGACCCGCCCGATGACGTAGACGCGCACTCGGAGCCGTCACCGCTGCCGTTGCTGACAGGTGCCAACGCCAATGGTAACGGAGGCGCAGGAGAGGCGGCGCGCTCCGCCTTCTTGTCGGGGGGCAGCGCTGAAGACAGCAACTCGGCCAAACTGGTGCCGCAGTCCAGCGCACCAGCTAGCTCGCGAGCCCCCAGCTCCTCGGCTGCAAAGAACGATCGGTGTAAGCTCGGTTGATCGGCCGGCTCCCTAATCGGTGGGCAGAAATAGTGGAGTACTCACGCTCGACGTGCGCGAAGGCACAGAAGAGGCCGCGAGGACAGTAGCCGGCCTGCTGCACGTCGTTGCACTTGGTGGACTTGTATATCTCGGGGTGGAACTGTTGCTCGGTGCGCGTGTGGCAGTAGCCGCAAGCGTCGCCCGCCTCGCAGTTGCTGGGCTCGCCCCACTCTTCCCCGTGCTTCACATTGGGACACGGTGTGCTACGATATTTATACTTCCTTGGTGATCTGCGCTTATCCTAAAATGAGTTTATGTTAAAATTATAATAATCTATTACTTAATATATAACACTGAAGAGTTTGTTTGTTTGTTTGAACGCGCTAATCCGGAGATTGGTCCTATTATTTTAGTGTTGGATAGTAATGCGGATGAAACCGCGCGGCAGCAGCTAGTAATAAATAAATACACACATTAGTCACGGTAATAAATACCAATACCATAAGGAAAATAATTATCAACAGACTTCAAAAAAAGGAAGAGGTACTCAATTCGACCGTACTTTTTTTTATATTTGTTACTCGATTACTCGAAGACGCCTGGACCGATTTCAATTTTTTTTTTATTTCAAAGGTTTTTTTTAAGGGGTGAAAATCATCGAATGACTGCTCCCGCCTGGGTGAGACGGGAGGAAGTGTCAGACTCTTACTGACTAAAAACCACCCCGTTCCTTCTCCTGCGCTTCGAGCCGGAGCCCCGGTTACCCGTTTGGTTCTCCGCGACCAATTTGAAAGGGTAGGTTTATCATTTGGTCCCATTTTCATTAAGTCAGGATCTGATGATGGAATCCCAAGGGAACCAAGGGGAACTTATAAAAATAATAGAAGCGACTAGTGCATTTGTGAATTTTTCATTAAGTATTTAAAACCGCTGTACGGTAACCCATGACGGGCTGATATCGGATATCGGACATAACAGTGCATGCAGGTGTCCGTCAAGGCTGCATCCTGTCGCCGCTTCTATTCCTAGTGTACTTGACGAATTATGCTTCGCATTTCAGAAGAACGGCGCCGCGGGATAGAATGGGGATTATCCAACGTCCTAGAAGACTTGGGCTATGCCGACGATCTTTGCCAGCTTAGTCATACTCACGCCGACATGCGAGCAAAGTTGGACGATTTGCGTCAGGAAGCGGCAAAAACAGGCCTCAAAATCAACACACGGAAGACCAAAGATATGAGATCTACTGTTAACTATTGAGGACTTTACACCTAGGTATGGTGAGGTTATCAATAAGGTAGGACAATATTATTGTCCTACCTTATTGATAACTAGGACGATAGTTGAGGGAAGTCCTCAACGGTTAACAGTAGCTTTCTTGTGGTTTTTTTATCATTTTAAGGGGGGAAAATCATCGAATGACTGCTCCCGCCTGGGTGAGGCGGGAGGGAGTGTCAGACTCTTACTGACTAAAAACCACCCCGTTCCTTCTCCTGCACGTCGAGCCGGAGCCCCGGTTACCCGTT